CACTTTTTGTCATTAAAAGCTTTTTTATTATTATTTCTAGTTTTTTTCTTCATATTTTTATATATAAATTTGACTAATAAAAAGGATTTTGTCCAAAAAAATTCATATATCACAAAAACTAAAATAAAAAATAAAATAAATTTGTATTAAAAAATTTTAGATAATTTTGGATAGTTTGATAAGTTTTATCGATAATTTCAAATATAGATCAATAACTATATTTGAATCAAAATTAATTTTGTTCATTTTGGTTTTATTCAAATATATAAAATATTTGAACCAAAATTTAAAAATTCAAGTAAAAAATTTAGATAATTTGATAATATTGAAAATGTGTCCAACCCCATTCAAGGATGACCTAACATTTTAGTTCCCCTGAGGAATTCATCAGACTTCTTTTATAGTCATTTGCCTTACCAATCCATATATTATATGTTTACAGATTCCACAAGTTTTGTTATTACTTTTTAAGAGCCGCAATTAAAAGATATTCAAAAAAAAAAAAAAAAAAGAGAGGAAATCTTTTGGACACAATAAGAATGAAAATACAATTAAAAAATAATAATAAAAGAAGAAGAAAGAAAGGCACTGGCTTTGAGTTCTTCAAACGCTTGCGCAAACACAGTTCACATAGATACTAATATATCAAGCCACAATTTGACATCAAACACAACACAAAAGCATGAATTCTAGAAGTTTATTTTCTACACGATTGATCTTCTAAACAACCAGACAACAAGCACAGGTTTGCAACCAGTTACATGGACGATTGGTGATCCTCCTTATTAAGTTCCTGCAAAAAAAAAAAAATCGTAACACTCAATGATTGAGATGGACACAACACAACGGATTGTATGTCTCCATTGCAAAGGTCCAAGATTTATTGGTAAATTGATACAAGTAGAGAGAGAGCAATTCTCTGCACAGACCTTTATAAGGATAAGAAATTAATTGTGAATGGGATGCTGGGCTCGCGGAGCAGGAGGAACACTGTTTGGAGGATCAATTTTATCAACCATTTCGGTGTTGTTTGAGTTTTGTGGTGGAGGAATGTTAACGACATCACCATACACGCTACTTGTAACCTTAACAACACCATAATTTAGTTGTCGTCCTTCAATAGACTGGGACTTTAGTAGAAATGTGATGGCAAGGAAGATGTAAATAATGGATAAAATTTTCTTTGGGGCCATGGAGGGTAAGTGAGAGAGAGAGGGTGAGCTGAGCGGCACTGCAGTGTGGTGGATTGAATTGAGCGTCCTCAATATCGAAGGTCATCCAAAACAGGGCAGAAACAGGGTACTCTGTTTCTGAGAAGAGACAGAGGAGAAGTAAAAGGAGACGAAAAGGAAAAAAAAAAAAAAAAAAAAGAGATAATAGGGCAGATAGAGGAAAACGGGGCGGAGAGCTAGTGTGAGGGAGAGGGAGTCCAGTGTGGTTCATTTATATAGCGGCGCCCGGGACGCGTACATGTCGCGGTGCAAAAATCTTTTGATTTGGGTGCCTAACCCAGAAAGGCATATGCCCCCCTTACCTCCTATCAACAGATTCCCTCTGACCCTACTTCACCTCCGAAAATCTGTGATCCCTCAGATGCGCATGCACTCAACCCTCACTCACCTCCAAAACTCTCTGACAATCTGATCCCACCTCCAAAACCTCTGACGTGGAGTCCTGTGTCGGAACACAAAGGTTTGAAAGAACACGAAAGGGACAAGTATCTCTTTTTTATTATTTTTTTTCAAATGAAAAATAAAAAAATTATTTTACTATCTAATTTAATTTAAATTGTAAAAAAAAACCATGAAAATATTATAAATATGTTTTTTTTTTTTTAACGCAAGGGAAGCAATGCATTAAGAATTGCCATACGGCATCTACATCAAGGTTTTATCCAAAGGGATAAGAGTATCAGACAAAGAATGAACAAATTGGAGAAACAAGGCAGAGTAGACCCGATGCAAAGGAGGAAGGGAGGTGAAGACACTTGCACAACTTGTGGTCGACCGATCCAGCTATGAGACATCGTTCAATCTACTCGGGAGAGGATGGTGCAAAATCTCCACGACACCGCGGTAGGGATCCAGACTAGCGGTGGCCAGATTTGGACAACCAACGAGCTCCTACACAAGAAAAAGTCGAGGGTCGTCAAAATTATAAAAACAAACTGTACAAGAACACAAAACAACACAAACAATCAAAAAATAGAAAAACCAAAAAGGGATCACCGGAAAGGGACCCAGAAACCGACAAACCCTGAAGGGTCATCGGAGGAAACCGACAGATCCCAAAGAGTCATCGGAGGAGGGAGCACAAGTCGGCTCCAGTATGCATGAGCGGCCGGGGAACCCAGCTGCTCAAGCATCAAAACCTCAGAAGCTCAAAAACTTTCGATCAAAACAAATGCAGCGTCAGAGAAGGGAGTAGAAGCAAGAGAGAAGAGAGAAAAAAGGGGGGTGGGAAAGAGAAAACAATATTATAAATATGTTAATTAAATTAGGCGTCGAACCTACGCTGGACGTAGTTTGTTTATTCGTATTATTAGTGAGTATTTTTTCATTTACATTTATTTCATCTCTTTTTAATATTTTAAAAAAATTTTGCTCTAAGCTCCCCCATAAATTTTTGTTATTATATTTATCTCTTCACTTTATATTCTTCTTCCTTTTCCTCTATCTATTAATATTGTATTTGTTATTAAATTTTCTCATATTATTTTTCTGTCAATTATCTTTTCTTAATTATTCTGGTTTTCTCGCACTTGTATTAATTATTATATATTTTTTATCTCGAATTTTCTCTTTCTACCTTTGATATTAGAAATATTTTAAACTAAATATTAGTGATGCGACTTCTTAACAATACTCCTTGAATTTTTTTCAACTATATTTACTCCACATCTCTCATTATTATTATTATTTTATTTGTCACTTTATCTTTTAAATTTTTTCTCTCATATTTTATTATTATATTTATCTCTATACCTTACATTTATTCATTTTTTCTACTATATATCAGTACTTCATTTTTTGTTAAGTTGTTATTTCTTTGTCATTCCTCCCATCTCTAATCTCCATATTTATCTTAATTATTTTTATTTTATTCTAATTTCTTTTCTTTCTTTATTTTAAACAAATTATCCATATTTGTAATCCGGAACAGAGGAGAAACTCGATGCTCTGTTTCTGACAAGAGATGGAGAAGTAAAAGGAGACGAAGAAGAAAGACAGATTATAGAGCATTCAGGAAGACGGGGAGGAGAGCAGTTTTATCACCTGTATGAACTTTTTGTACATTTTACAGTCTAATAAATATGCATGTGCATGTCCCACTTGGTAGGAACGTATCATCAGTGGGTTTTGGGACCACAAAAACTTGAATTGTTTTATGTATGTATCATGTCCTCAATATCTTAATTTTAGTGGATTATATGTTCTTCTGTGTAAGCCCAATTTCAGCCAATTGAGAAGGACCATTAGTTTATTGTCGGAGGAACCTTGTCCATTTAGGATAACATTTCCTTTGTGTTTCTGAGCATTTTTCCTTTATCTTGGGAAAGTCTAACCCAGAAGCTTGATTAATGGTAATTGAAATAGAGATTAAGCTTTGCAGATTGTTGGAATCTCCATTGACCTGGTTGTGATTGAGCCTTCTATTCTGATTCATGATTGCATTTTATCTCCGATGCAGATATTTAGAATATCTGAACCCATGTGGTAGAACTTAAAAATAAAATTTTCTTTTATAAATTTAAAATTTTGTTTTATTTTCTTTTAGAGTCCAGATTATAAATCTAGTTTTTGAATAATTCTCTTCAACTTCCTTTCTTAATATTTCCCACCTCAAAAATAATCATTTTAGTACTGATATCACTGGATTATGACAGTTTGAAAAATCATTTTTGATATTATATTAATTAATTAATTAATTAATCAATGTAATTTGTTACATAATAATGTGGGTAACTTTTTTTTATTTTAATATAAAAAATTTATTAAAAAAATAAAAATAATTTTTAAATAATTGGTGAAAATAGATCTATCCGCCTGAAACATTGATGAACTAACTGGGTCCATCATGCGAGTGACTTTCAGGTTGGAAAATCTGCTAATAATTAATGCGATGGGACCAAGTGCCGTTGGCGGACTGCCTTGCCCAACTTGACATTCATGATACTGCCCAAAAAACGACACACTTTCCACATAAACCAAAAATGAACTAGGTTCTCTCGTGGCATATTGGCTACCAATTAATAGCGGTAACATTCCCGAATGATAACGAAGGCCAGTGTCACGTTTA